ATAAAAAATAAATCAAAGCGAAATAAAAATTAAAAACTGATTTTAAAGTGTAAAATATTAATAAATCAAATATTCATAATTTTTTAAATAGTACATAAATAACACTAAAAATAACACTGGTGTAGATGATATATATTTAATATAAGTGTATTTTGTCAATGCATTGGCATATATCTTTTTAAAACTTGTTTTAAGTCTAAAAATCTAGTTAAAAAATATACCAGTGTTGTTATAGTAAACTAGAACTATTAAATCATTTTTAATAACTTAAATAAAACTGAAATTAAATATAAATATTAAATTAAAAACTTAAAAGGTAAACATTTCTAATTTAAGTTGAAATATTACATTATTACAACTCAAATAAAAATAAATTAAAGCTAAGTAGAAATAGTAAAAATGACAAAAACACAACAAAACTGACAAAAAATTATTCTCAGATAATTTCACCAAAAAACAAGTGAGGAGAGAGACAGATTCGCATGAAGAAATTTTTTTGTTTGTTTGTTTTTTTGCAGTGTGTGGTCCTGACCGCTTCTGTCTGCACTTTTCTAGAGATTAGTGTGATCTTTTTTACTTTCCTCATCTTTCATCATTATCAAGACTCTTCCCATGCCCCATGTTTTTAAGCACTTTAGAGTCTGGTTGTGTTTGTTGTAGATGTGGGAGAGTTTGATTCTGGTTGTCTCTGATGTTGGAGATAAAACTCTGGGATCTTTGGGGACAGTAAACAGCATCCGTCTGCTCTACTCCAAATATAGCAGCCGTCTACTGGGGGGAAGGGAATACCTCAAAAAAGATGGAACCAACAAAAGATAGAGAGAGAGTGAGTAATGATTATCGCTAGTAATGAGAATAAATGGGGGATATTGAGATGGCCTCGCCTTGTCTCTCCTTATCATTGGCTTTATAAGAAAAATCTGCAGTGCTCCACAAAATATCGCTTCCCTCTTTTGAGTTTATGAGGAATGCTCTGGCTATCTGACAGCCGAGTTTAAGGATAGCTGAGATTAAAGGTCTGGGGAAGAAAGCAGGTTAGTATGGAAATGACAACTTTTGCAATTATAATCTCTCTAATCAAATGAGTGTGTAAATCCCAATGCTTCTGATTTTTTTTCATCCTCACTAGAGCGAACCGCTATCCATTTGCATGAAATATTTATGAAGCTGACCTATATATTTCCATGCAGACACCCCATAACCGAACCTTGTATTGCCGTATAATGAGGTCATACCTCGCCCTCCGAAGATTCCCTTGAAAAAAAGTGATGCCTTGCCAACATATTGTACGAAACTCCGGAATAAAATGCTGTCTTATGCCCTGCAAGAAGCTATTCCTGTATATATACTGTATATATACATATAACACACACACACATATATATATATATATATTGCAGTAAATTAGGGCATTCATGCAAAACACTTTACTAACTTTACATTGAGAATGAAGGTTACAAATACACAATTTATTTATATAAAATTAAGGACAAATATAAAAAATAAATATATTTATTTTATTTTTATTTTATTTTTTACAAATGCACACTATTTATTTACATAAAATTAAGTAAAACATATATAAAATAAATATCATATAAGTATTTTATTTATGTTATTTTTTTATGTAGGGTTTTTATTTTATTTCATTTTTAATAGGACAGACAGGAAAGTGTAGGAATAAGTCACTGTTATCTGTTTTCAGCTTCTTCTTCTTTTTTTTTTACTACATCTCAAACATGCATGATATTTGAGACAGGATGGTTGACAGAGTGTGATTTTACTCAATTTCATTTACTTTAATTAGGTCTGTTTTTTCAAAAGCCTGAGGAAACAGTTAGACTTCTACCACCCTCTGGAGGCCTTTAAGTCGTAATTAAAACCCAATGTCAATCACACACCCTTTCATTCGGCTGTTTCTCCAAGACCAAGTGCCCATCAAGCTCCTATCATGACAAATTAATCAGCGGCGGACCACTTCATTGCAGAGATTCTCGCCTTAAGGGAGACCTCTCTACTTTTGAGAGGCAGCGCAGGATCTGAAGCGAGCGTTAATCAATTAAAGCACGGCAAGGTCCCGTATCAATTTCTGACCAAATCCAGGATGTGTGCTTTACAATCCTCTTATGTCCAGATTGGAATTAGGACCCACCCTGTGAGGAGCGATGAAAAACGGATGAGAATGAGTCTCTGTGTAATGTAGTGCACTGAGAGCAGATACAGAGGTGTATGTCTTGCTCCATGTGTTCATTTTGCTTGTTGCATATTTGGGTGTTGCTTTATCTATGGGCACTTTTATGTTCAGTTCTTTTTTTTTAATTAACTAAAACTAAAAGTTAAAAAACCCTCAACCATTTTTAGTAATAATAAATGTTTGTTGAGCAGCAAATTGGCATATTAGAATGATTTCTGAAGGATCATGTGACACTAAAGACTGGAGTAATGATGCTGAATATTCAGCTTTGCATCACAGAAATAAATTACATTTTAAAATTGTATTAAAACAAAAAACAGCTTTTTTAATTGTAATAATATTTCACAATTTTTTATTTTATTTTTGATCAAATAAATGCAGCCTTAGTGAAAATAAGACACTTCTTTCAAAAACATTAATAAATCTTACCGTTTCCAAACTTTGTACAGTAATTTATTCTACTTTTCAATTTCCTTTTATGTATAGATTTTGTTTTACTCATCCCAGACCCAGACCCAGACTTTCAATCTTAAAATATGAAAGTGAAAGTATTATTACATTCTTAAAAATGATGCTAAACAAAGTAATCAAAATCATAAACCATTTCACTACTGAAAACTATTTAAATCAAATGTTTTAAAATAATTATAATTTTATAATAATATTTTTGTGTACTTGGTTACAGGAGAAAACCGCCTCAGAGAAGAGCATCCTTGAGATGAAGAAAAATCAAGGTCAATATCATTAATTATTATTGTAACATCATTTTTATTGTATTATATATTTCATAATTTCCTGTTATGCAGCAAAAAGTATGAAAATATTATATAATTGTGTGTATCTGTTTTTGTGTGTATGTATTCATGTGTACAAAAAATTCTATACATTTAGAACTAGCAAATCCAAAAATTTCATTTCCATCACAGATTTCTGTGCAATAAATCATTTGAAATGTGATGGAAAAGACACACATGAAATGTTCATGATGTTTTAGAAAAAGAAAAATACAAAAATTACATAAGTGAGCAATATACATACACACTTTCATACATTTTTAGTGGGGTAATTAAGATAGTGAGTGTATGAAAAGTGTGTTTTGAGAGAGTTAACACAAGAATGAAAGTGTCAAAGCAACACCTAATGAAGGTGCATTCCGCACGGTTAAACGTGTAGTGTTAAATCAGGAATTGCATCTTAAACAAAAGTTGCCAGATAAAAGCGGCAAAGTCACATCGCCGACTAATGCAGGGCAGCTGTAGGAATCTAACGTCCCGCGAAAAAACAGCACTCGAAGTGATGCAAGCCCTTGGCAAAAACAACACTAAAAAGAAATCTGTCTGGTTTGACAGCTGAATAAATGCCTGCTGGCGTTTTGTAAATGTGCATGGATAGTGAGTGTGAAAACTGCAAACAATACGGGCGCTAGCTTGCAGATTGGTATGCGTTCCTCATCATCATGAATATTCTAAATTATTGACACCTCACCAAAAAAAAGTGCTATGTAGACAGTAAAGTCTTGTGATTAAAAACCAAGGACAGAAGGAATCATTTGTGCCACTGTTCAGGACGGAGAGGGCAAGGCTGTTTTGCTCTTATTAAAACATTGGCATTATGGGGTTAGATGGGCTGATGAAGTGGCCCGGGTGCGTTTCTAGCGCAATCAGGCAGTCTCGCTGCAGGTTGCAGGGGAACAGCGGGAGGCATCCTGGACCTCGGTTGGGGGGCGAAGTAGCAGCATCTTTTTCTGGGGTGTGAGGTGAGGTTTCTCTGCCCTGCACTCACAGAATCTGTGTGGATCCATGGCAGCTATATCCAGACACCGCAGGGCTGGGACCCCACTGCTTGGGACAGGAACAGTTCTCATGGGCACACTTGCTGCCAGGCTCTGCTGTTGGGATAGGATCAAACCCCTATCTGGCCATCTGTGACTGGAGAATCAGGAGTGTGTGATAAAAATATGCCCTTAATGTTCCCGCAAAACAGAGGAGCTAAAAGGAGAGATCGAGTACTAAGTCAGCTGTTGTGGATTCTTCTCAAAGCTTGAGCTCAAAACTGTGAGCTACAAGCTGCGTACGTTAGGCTGGGGAAAATTTAGCCATCCTCTGGCCACAGGCACAATGTGTGCGTAAACAAGACAAATTAAACATTTTAATTAAAAAAAAATAATTTAAATTAGCTAAAAAATTTGATTAAAAAACTATTTGTAAAATATTTATTTTTAAATTAGACCCACACCCACTACTCCATTCATTTATTCATTCATTCATGATTGAATTAATGAATTTGTGTTTATTAAAATTATTGTTTAAAATGTTCTTTAGCATTTAAAAATGTATACCTTAATTTTGGGGGGATAAAATATTATATATTATTTATTATATATTTGTAATATTTGTTTAATAAAAAAAACAATATCTATATATACAGTATATATATATATATATATTATTATTATTATTATTATTATTATTATTTAGAATTTAAATTCGCTAAAAAATTCTCTAAAAACAATTTGTAATATAGTTCTTTTTAAATTACACCCACAACTCTATTTATAATTTATTTATAATAATTTATTTATTTTAGTTTTTATTTACATTCTTATTTAAAATTTACTTAAGCATTTAAATAATAAAGGTAACATATTTCTTTTTAAAATTATGCCCATATCCACATTTACATCATGTAGTCAAATTCAAACTGTCCTGCTCTGGGATGACTCTGCTGAAAATAAATTCACCAAACAAATCCCTTATACTGGTGAAGACGGCTCTTCCTCCTTTATCTGTATCTTAACAACTTAAAGCTTTTCCGGTTGGCATCGCCACAGGATTTTGCTGCATTAGATAACTGTGGTTATTATTTATTATTCAGGTTGGCTGTCATGCTGATAAAAAAAAAATCATGCATATATGTCTGCTCTTGAGTGGCTTAATTATCTTCAGATAATTCATTATCTCCATATCTTGGAATATGGCTTCAGATGACAATCTTTGTTGATTGTGTTTTTACAGAAAATGAGACAGAAGGGGACACATCCACCTACACGTCATAGTTTTACCCTGCAGTTGGTTTATCCTCACCCTATGAAACTGCTGTACGTTGATTCAGCCACTTAAGGTAACAAATGGAATTGCAAAAATAGTGATTGTTTCTAAAGAGGTTTCCTAAATGTTTACTGATTAATGTAATTACAAAGTTATAATCGAAATCAATTCTGGCTTTTATGTATGTAAATGTATATTTAGTCTTTCTATGTAGCTACACATTCTCTGCCACTCTCACTATTTTGGCTCACACAATAAGCACTGTGTTTTTAAGAAACTGTGTCAAATCAAAAGTCGTTTTTTAATTGATCGCACTAATTAACACATTCAATTGGGTGTTGTAGTTGAAATAATAAGTGGCAAAATCTGTAAAAAATTAAATAAGCACATGAACGTTCAGAATTTTCTACCAAGCGCAATTCTCTGCCTTGAGCATCGCCCTCCTTTTGACGCAAGTAACAAAAACTGTTTTTAAACCTGCCATTGCTTAGGTAATGAGCTTTTGGATAAATCTGCACAACCGAAGACGAACGTGACGTAATTTTCCCCAGGGCGTCGTTCATGAACGTTTATAGAATATCATTATGAGCATTTATGCCTTTATGGGATGCGGCAGCTAGATTTCTTTCAAGATTTGTTTAAAAGCGGCAAAGTCTGGTGCAAATAACGGGAGTGCAGTGCTCGGATGAATAAATAGCAGTGGCACTAAACAAACACAGATAGACAGATAAAAGGCTGCCGCTGGAGTCCGTTGCTCTGAAGCAGCTGGAAGCTGCTGTTAATGGGAGCTTGATTTATTTTTCCCACAGTCCTCTCTCACGAGACACCCTGACTATTTATTCTCATTTGCACAGAAGCACTGCCAGGCTCATCATGAGGCACTTACGCAAACAAAAACGGATGGAGGAAAGACGAGGACAATCGGTGCCCAGAGAGTCACCTCGGGCCGCCTTAGATTGGTCATTATCACCAGTACCCTGACTTATTACCCCCATTTTGAGGAGGATTGAGGAAGAGAATGTAGAGAAAGAGCGGCCATTAGCGAACGGTAATGTGTGAACGTTTCCAAATGGGCTGTGTGGCCCATGAACTTGTTGGCCTGTTTGAGAAAACGACCTGCTTTGTTAACAAGCTCGACGTCTTGGGCCTCATACACCTTATATTAGCAATGCTTTAGCTTCGTCCATTAAGGATGAGAGGTACAAATTGAACATGACAGCTCTCCGAAAATAAGATTCAATTCCGTTTACACGGTGTTCAGGCAGCGGATATTGATTTATAAGAACCGCTCCGTAAGACTGATGTGGGTAATTGGCTTCAAATGCTCTTTTCTTTTCCTCGTCCTAATCCTTCCACAGGACCCTGAAAGCTTTGACCTCGGCTAATGATGCCCGATGCAGACTCCTCCGGTGCCACGGCTCTCACAGAACTTCCTTGCCTCGCTCGACGACTGTTTTCATATTCCTTATTATCGGCGCTCCAGCCCCTTCCCGCATTTTTGAAGTATAGCAGCTAAAAAAAGGTCAGCCGCACAATAGCGGATCTGTGTGTTAAAAGGCAGTCGCGGGGAGTTCGTTTCTGAATGTGGTCTTTTCTTTACTAGCCTGTGCCAGGGGAGCGGCTAATGAAAAATGCCCCGCTGTTTCCTCCCCAGTGCCTGAGAGAGCTGCCCATACAAAAGCAGCGCTGAAGGGTGGTGGCAGACCATAGACCTGGCCTCTACAGCCCCGTTCCCCATGCTCCTCGAGGAGGATTTGCAGTTAAAAGGTTGGAGATACATGGGAGAGAGAGCGCTCCCCATGAGGCGAAAGGCCCTTCCTGTACCACAGCTACTGAATCGCAGATGACCTTGAAAGCTTTGGCACCGGCAGCTCCTGTAAATTATTCACACAGGATGCAGAAAAGGGCTTCTTCTGCACTCCCGGACGAAAGGGCGGAAGCCAAAAGCAAGCGCCGCCGCCTCCTCTCACGTGGAAGACGTGGATTAATGGTGAGGAAAGGAGACGTGTGCGCAAACGACAGAGAGTGGTCTTGCCATTGCCTGTGCACATCAAAAAAAGTTGAAGGAGAGAAATAATAAGGGAGGTCCCTTCATAATTAATTTCTCCCCCCATGGAAACATCGCGATGGGGCCAATTATTGCCAGAATGTGAGTCCATCGCCTGCTGCGTCACTGTCCACAGAGCTGTATCCGTGTGCGCAAACGACAAAGAGTGGTCTTGCCATTGCCTGTGCACATCAAAAAAAGTTGAAGGAGAGAAAGAATAAGGGAGGTCCCTTCATAATTAATTTCTCCCCCCATGGAAACATCGCGATGGGGCCAATTATTGCCAGAATGTGAGTCCATCGCCTGCTGCGTCACTGTCCACAGAGCTGTATCCTCTAGGCATCCGCATGATGCTGAATACAGTGAGATGGGCACACACTTATCTTTACAGTGTAAATCACACTGGTTGGTGTTGGATTTTAAACTAATTCTCTGCAATCATTCCTTTCATTAGCTTGTATTTGTGTGCAAATGAACCAATAGTTAAACAAGCAAAACAGCTAATCAGCAAATCAATGTATAATTTGCTATAATATGATTTATTATATGAAATTATATTTTATATATAATGAAAATAATTAATGTAAATAACACTAAATTTCATTATCGCTTAGTCTGGTGTGTGTGCATGGAAATACTCCATTAGTAGTGACACTATAAAGTTGTAAAAATAATATATATAAAAATATTCATTGAAAATATTTTTTTTTTTTTTCAAATTATTTTCAAGTATATACAGTGGGTACGGAAAGTATTCAGACCCCCTTAAATTTTTCATTTTGCTCATGTTTTTATATGACCACTTCCATTTTGCATCCTGACAGCAAGCAATAGCAAGCCGCTGTCATTATTAAATTACATGATTAAAATTTCATTATTAAATAAATAAACTGTTAAGATAAAAAAAGTTTTCTCTTTTAAACATCAAATTTATGTTTTAAATGAATAGTTGAAACTTGAAATCCTACATGCAAGTCATGATATTTTTATGTGATTAATAGTAGTAATACTTATAAGATAAAAGTAGTAATAACATAAAAAGTAATACTTTTTTAATATTATATATTTTACAATATTTATTTATAAATATATGTATTATGTTAGTAAAATGTATTATTCATATTAATAAACATTAAAAAATATGATGATGTATGTATTTTATCATATTTTAAACTATTTTTGCTACAAAGTGATAAACTTCAGTTCACACATTGTATCTAGGAAATTAATAAACATTTAAAAATATGATGATGTATGTATTTTATCATATTTTAAACTATTTTTGCTACAAAGTGATAAACGTCAGTTCACACATTGTATCTAGGAAATCGGGGAGAGCATCAGATAATGAAAATATCTGATACAAAACATCTGAAAATAAAGAACAAAATAGCCAGATTAGCAAAGACGTTAATAACTACAGCCCTGCCTGATATGCGTTGTACTTAAAAACACATAAGCTGGGTTCACACAAGGTGGATGCACTGCAAAGTCTGCATTTCAGCTCTGGATGTTTATGATGTTATGTGTGGGCAGAGAGGAGCATTTAATGAACAATATGTTTTAGTGCAGGAGGGATTGGCCCAGTCAACTGAACAGGAATGTCCCGCTGTGATGGCGTTGCACTAGATACAGTCCCCATACAGAATGGCCGGATTAAATTTTGATGAGCGATGGCGTTCTGATGAAAAATTCTGTTTGCCTTCCTGGGACACCCCCTTTTATTCTGCGCCCCTAGGGTGGGGATCTGGGCAGCGGGGATATTTACGCCTGCGGTGCTTGCTTTCAGGGAGGCCGAACGACCCTAATAGAATTTCAAAGATCCCAGTGCGAATGAAAATCCGGAGGAGGACAGTTTTCTGTTGTTCCCTCTTTCCCTTTGCTTGTGCTTTCTGCCTCCCTGATATCCTTTTAAAATGCTGTTGTAAATGTAGCATCTTATACTATAGATAATAACTGTAGAATTGCAGTGACATATGCAAGAAATTCAATGTACAAATTATTTGATTAATATTTTACATTTGAATTCATGCATATTTAACTTTTTACATATCATTACCTTATATAATGTTAATATACCAACTTACTACAACAACCATAATTACACAGGTGATAAACTATTCTGTCTAATAATGAAAAGTTGAGCATCCTATGAACCATAAAGCATTGATAACACAAATTATTTTTTCATCATAATTTTCATATTATTACTGTAAAAGTGTATCTCTTGTTGAACATATTTTCTCAATAAATTATATAGTAATTTAACTTCTGTTTAACTTATAAGGTTTTCACTGTAGCTTTTCACCTTTATTAAAGGGGTGGTTCACTGGTTTTTTTCTAGGCTTGATTGTTTATGGGGTGCAGTCTAACATGTGTTAATGCTTCGTTTTTTAAAAAACGCACTATTTTTCACATAATTTATCTTTATTCCACACTGCTCTGTCCCTTCTCTGAGAAACGCGCTGATCATTTCTTTCTTTTATGAAGCCCCTCCCTCAGAAATAGGCGATAGGCTCTGATTGGTTAGCTAGTCCAGTGTGTTGTGATTGGCTAAACCGCCTCTAGTGCGCATCTAATCGTCCCGCCCCTCACCTCAGCGGCATGTGCTCTGGTTGTATTGTAAACAACGGCGTTGTTAATATCGCTTATCAGTTTGAGCCCGATTGAGAAGCAGAGGATATTATTGAAGAGGATCGTGCAGAACCTGTGCAAGCACG